ACTGCAAGACAAATTTCTGTTATAACCCAGTCTGTAGTATTTTGTTATGGCAGTCCTAGTTAAACTAATACAATCTGATACCAAAACCAGACAGACATCACAGGAAGAGATAACTACATACTAATATCCTTTATGAGGACAGGTGCAAAATTCCTCAACAAAATACTACAAACTGAATTCAACATGTAAGAAAAGTTACACACGATGACCAAATGGAATTCATCCCAGGAATGCTTAAAGGTATTTCAATGTAAGAAAATGTTCTTTAATTAGGTAGTAGTAATGATGGTTTTCACAACATTGTGAATATACTAAAAACCTGATTTGTACCCTTTCAACTGGGTGAACTATATGGTATGTGAACTATATCTCAAATATGAAACAAATTTGTCATTAATATTCTATTGGACAGCGTAATTCTAAACAAATTTTGTGTAAAGCAGAACAAAAACCTATGGAGATGCCAATAATGGATCATCTCTGCAATGTAGATAGACTTATAAGAGGGTGAGGAATTTGTAATATTCACACTAGGTGAGAATTTTTGTAAAAGAGCCATACTGTCAGGGAAACCTAACAGGAATTCAGGATTTTTCATTCTAGTCTTTTTCCCCCTTAATGATTATCACTTTTTGTGCTGTGTTTAAAGACATCTTTTTCTTAGGCCAAGGCCATATGGATATTTTTTTAAACTTCAAGAGCTCTGTTGTTTTCATCTACATTTTTATGTTTTGGTCTACAATCAACCTGGAATTGGTTTTCCATTTCCAAGAGTGTTAGAATTAGTTTATTGAGTTTCACAGGCTAATTTTGCCCATGAACTCAGATGAAAAGATCCTAAAGAAATTATCACCCAACCAAATCCAGCAATACACAAAGCAATAATCATGACCAAATTGGGTTTATTCCAAGAATGCAATTGTAGCTCATAATTTCAAAGTCAATCCTTGCACTCTGTCACAGACATACTAATGAAGCTCAAATGAGTTAACTAAGAATTTTTCAACTTTTATGAGAAATGCTAAGAAATACCTACACAATATAAGGAAAAAAAGGAAACTGATGAATTCCCCTATAAACTGGGAGTAGGGAAAACTTTCCTGACCATGACCCAAAACCCAGAATATGAGAAAATACTGAAAAATTTCATTACATAAATACAAACAAAAACCCAGAACAAAAGCCTCCAAACCTCTTATGCATAGCTAAAAAACACCAAGTTAAGCAAAAATACCAATGATAAAACGGGAAAGACATTTCCAATTTTTCCCCAAAATATTAATATCCTTAATACAGTCCAACCACCCAAAAAGGAAAATGGGTTAGAGGTATAGTCTAATAGGAAAAGGCTAGAAACAACCCAATTGCCCACCACTAGAAGTCCAGCTGAATAAACTTTGGTGGACCCACTTAATGAAGTATTAGACCTTAAACTAAGGAAGGAGTCAAAGACCACTGTGGTTGTGTCAAGAAAGTCAGGAACCAATCTGAAGGGCTCCCACTGGCCACAAACTGGATAATTTGTGCACCAAAGAGAATAAAAGCCACAGTGGATTAAAACACATCCTGTATGTTAGAACTCATGACTTCATAATGATACCAGAAAAAGCATCTTGGGCACATGCTAGAGATCACTAAATTATGTTGGATATTGATAAACATCAGGAATGAATCAAAAACTTAACCTACCATTTATAAAGTACAACAGAATAATCAAATGATTAACAAAGAAAGTTTCCTCTCTCTAGTAGTATTCCTACTAATAAATGAGAAGGAATATTTAAAGTGTCACTAATTTGGAAATATTAACAAAACAATGAATTTAGGGAAAGACCATCAATGGCTGCTAACATCACAAAGGGGGAACACAAGTGCTTCGGCAGGAGTAGACAGCACCTCCAATGAAGTATTCTTTCCAAAAAGATAATCTCAGCAGAACCAGAACAGCCTTTAGAGGTAACTACCATTTTACAGGAAATGCAGAGGTCAGAGATTGAGACACCACCATTGAATGTAATCAGAAAAACCCAAAGCCTGAGGAAGGAACTCAGTATGTGACACTCAACCTGATTTATTCAATAAAGAAAAGAGAACCTCTAGATTGCACTAATAAGGTAGTTATTTGTTCACACTTAAAAGGTGGCTGGTACAAATCGAGATGTGCTGTAAATATACACACTGGATTTTGAAAACTTAATTTGAAAAAAAAAAAAGTAATTTAAAAATTACATGATATATTCTGAACATGTTAAACTAAATTATTAGAATGAACATGTTTTTTATTAAAAAATATGAAATTACATATGTGGCTTGCATTATATTTCCACTGGACAGCGCTGCTCTGATTAACAGAATATGAGAGAGATTATCTACCAAATATAAGGTGGGACCTTGTTTGGATTCCAATTCAAGCCAGCTATAAAAAAAAATATTATTGGATTATACGGGCAGGTGCATTTGAACACAGGGTATTTGATGATCTCAAGGAATTATTTCTTCAGGTGTGATAATGGTACTGTAGTTATATTTTTTCAAAAAAATCTGTAGAATATAAGCTAAAATATTTATGGATAAAAACCTTATTATGTCTGGGATTTGCTGTCAAATAAGCCAGACTTGGCTTTAGATGAGCCGGATTCTCCCCCTCTTACCTGCCTCTTGTTTTCCACAAGAACTCCAATTCCGGCCAGTAAGATGGGAGCAGGGTCCCTGGCAGAGGAGGGCTGTCACTGTCAGACAGACCTGAGTCCTATTCCCTCCCTGGGCAAGTGACTTCATTTTCCCCCTGGGCCTCCATTTTCTCATCTGTACAACAAGGATAATGCCAATACCCCCCCACCCCCTTACAGACTGGTCATGAGCATGTGACTTAAAAATACTATCAAACTCTTAGCTCTGTGCCTGGACCCAGTAATGTGCTTCTACAAAAAGTCTGAGAGCCAAAGCTCAGATTCAGGAGACCCGTTACCATTTTTGCAGCCCCTGGAGGCACTTATCCTGGATGGGCACCATATGTCTCCACACTCTTCCTTCACAGTTTTGGCCGTATCTGAGGACTAACCTAAATCAGTCTTTTCGCTTAAATCAATTCACATTTTTACTTGAATTATGTTTACTGAGACCTTTGTACCAATAAACTTAAATGAAAACCAGTCACTTGCCAATTAAAAAAAAAATCCCAAAAAAGCAAATACCACAAAAAGAATGTTAAAACAGAAAAAATAAAAATAAAAAGGAGACCGTAATATAGAATAAGCCTAATCAATTTACAAAATGCATACGGGCACAAGAGATGACTGAAGATGGGCTTGCTTAAACATTAGTAACTAGTAACATCAGCAATCGTTCCCCAAATTCATTAAAAGTAAAAATTTACTCACTTATTTTAAAATGCAGAATCGTGTCTAGAAATTAATAGTGAAAACATCACTTTTCACTGACATATTTTTTGTCTAACCGGAGAACCCGAGGTATTTTCATTCTTACTAGGAATTCAGAAACAAATAGTTAACCTTTAAAAACGTGACTAAAAGTAATGGAACTACATTAAGATAGGTAATTCCGACAATGTTTTGAACTGAAAGGGTATTTGAAGTCTTCAAAACTCTTCCAGCTCCACCAGGTTCCCAATACCTGAGGCGCTGCCCCCCTCCCCGGGGCCCCACCGGGCGGTTCCCCCCCTTAGCGCGCAGCCGCTCGCGGACTCCTCTCCCGCCACGCACGCGGCCGGCAGTGGCAGATAGAAGCCCGGAGGCCCCCCCGATAGTTGTGAGAACTAGAGAAGGAAGCACGTTCCTTCGTCCTAGGGCCTCGGGGAAATAAACTACTGCGAAGAGCTTCCAGCGGACAGGCGGGCCGGGGCCCAAGGGACGCCGGGCGGGGGCGGGGGTGGGTGTGGGGGGAGGTCCCGCAGGAGCTGGGGAGGGGGGTCTCCCGGGTCTGGGGATTTGTCTGGCAAGAACCTGAGAGCTCCTTAAAGGTACAAACCAACGGGGAGGGGCCTGTGGCCTCCCAACCAGGTCTATAAAAGACCAGGGTCGGTCGAGTCCCCGAGACTCGCTCGGCGTCACCAGGCCGCCCGGCGCCACTTTCAGTGAACCACGCGGGAACGCTGAAGGTAGAGGGCGCAGCGCGAGCGCCGGCAGTCTCCAGAAGTTTCTTAGGCGCAGTCAAAAATCAGCAAAAAATACGTTCAAGGATACAAAGAAATAAAAGACAAGGAAAAAGAAACGGCCGATTAAGCTCGCTCGGCAGAAGTACAGTCACCAGGCAAAGATCACCAGAACCAGTTTCTACCCAAAATGCAGACACTATACCTCTAAAAGCAGGAGACAAAACGCAGACTGGCGCTCAGGACCCGCACGCCGCACGGAGAGGAAGAAAAGGCCGCAAAGACGGAGAGTGGAGGCTCAGCGAGCGGGAACGTGGGAGGGGGGAGGAGTCAGTTCCCAACCAGTCTGGTGCAACTCAACCACGTGAAAGTACTGCTTTCATTTTTAAATGAAGCCCCTCTCCCACGGTCGCCAGGTGCCCTCACGCTATTCCTGGCAGGGGCGCTCAAGCTCTGCTACCCCTGGAGTCCCCATCAGGCCTTTCCTCCCTTCCTCGCCGCGGGCCCTACCTCCCCCAGCCCTAAATCTCAGCCCGTGGTCCAGTCCCTGAGTGTAAGGCCGTTGACCTCTGACCCCACCTCCCCCGACCCCAAATCTCAGCCCCGCCACCCTCGACCCCAGTGAACTCAGTCCCCGGTTTGTACCCCAGTAAGCGGCCTTTGACCTCAGATCCTACCTCTCCCGACCCCAACTCTCAGCCCCGCCGTCCGCAGCCCCTACGTGCCCAGTCCCCATTCGGTTCCCGTGTGTGAGGCCCCTGATTTCAGACCTAGCCTCCCCCGACTCCAAATTTCAGTCCCGCTGTCCCCACACCCAAGGGCCCAGCTCTCGGTCGGTTCCAGTTGTGCGGCCCTCGGCCTCGGACCCGCCGCCCGTCCCGCCCCTCACCTCGGGCTCCGAGCCTCCACTCTCCCGCTCTTCACATCCGGCACCTCGATCGTCCCTCTGAGCACCTAGAGGAGGGTGGAACGCGGGGAACTTGGCAGTTGTAGCTGAGGCAGTTGAGGCTTGTTTACCATCACCATGGAAACCCCTGGCAGCACGCCCTGGGCGGGGCCTCCGGGGGGCGGGGTCTGGCGCGCGGCAGGCCCGAGTGCACAACTCCCGCCCGTCGGGCGTACGCGCCGTTTACCTCAGCCCCGCTGCTCTGGGTTTGCCCGATTCCCGCTCGGCCCTGCACCCCAGCACCCAGGAGCAACAGCCCCGGGAGCCCGCGCCCCCGCCCCACTTCCGGCTGCCGGCGTGAGCGCCCGCCGGTCTACCCGCGGAACCCCACCTTCTTCTCCAGGAAGACGCGGCGAAGGGCTACCTCCACCACGGAGCCGGAAGGACGCAAAGAGCGTGGCGGGGCGGGGCCTCCGCGGCGGGCGTCCGGGGGCGGGGCCGCGAGGGCGCCGTTGTGACGCGCATGGAGCGGAGCCAAGGATTGGCCGGCAGGGCGCGGGGCAGGGCTGGGGCCTGTGGAAGCGGGCGGTGTTGAGACTGGAGCGGCGGGACCAGGGCGAGCCCTTCTTGGGCGGGAGGAAGGGAGGGGCGTGTCTGATCAGTATTTTTTTTTTTTTTTTTAAAGATTTTATTTATTTGAGAGCGAGAGACAGAGATAGCGAGTGAGAACACTGAGCGGGGAGGAGAGGGAGAAGCAGGCTCCCCACTGAGCAGGGAGCCCGATGCGGGGCTCGATTCCAGGACTCTGGGATCATGACCTAAGCCTAAGGCAGCCGCTTAACCGACTGAGCCACCCAGGCGCCCATGATAAGCAGCAGTATTGAGCTCCTGAATGTCCTAACTAGGAGAGGCCCTCCCAAAACAGTGAGCGCAAAGGACTCCCGGATTGAAGACCAGCGTGAGAAGAAAATGAGAGTTATTTCCTGTCGAGGAAGAAATAGGAACCGAAAACAAGAGACAGATAAAGGCGGCTCCGATTGCAGGATTTAGGGAAGGATTAACAGGTTTACTGAGGTGGCTACCATGATTATCACTTGGGCTAAGACCCCAGTCTCTGAAGGTGACCCAAAGACCCAGGGAGAATGCAAGGTTTTCAGTCAGAACACCCGAGACTACAGGGTGGGTGGAAATGGCTACCCAGTGGAGATTTTCTTGATGTGTTATGGGGTTAGTAATTATTACCATTTTAATTTTTGGAGACTCTCTTCAGAGGAAGAGATGAAGGCATTCATCACAGGTTTAGCAGAGCATATTATTTCAAAATCACTGGTTATATTAAGGAAATGCTTGGAATAGTGGCAGAGAATGAGTGGATGACAATAGTAGAGGAAAGAGCAGCTTGTCAGAAGAAGCTGATTCCAGAAAAGAAAAATGGGAAAAGTAAAAGCAAGAGCTTTCAAGGGAGGTGAAAATGTACAAGGAGAAAATTAAGCAAAATTACAGAAAATGAGTCCTATAAAAATCAGGTAGGTGTTCTTAAGAAAGCCCACAATGACTCCATCACAGGTCACACTGTAGAAAAGTCTGGATCTGGAGATAAAATGCAAGCATCCAATCTGAGGCAAATACTAAAATTATACCCCCAAAATAGTGCTTCAGAATTAAGGGACTGCGAAGCCAGGTCCAAGAAGATACGTTCATGTAGTCCATTAAGAGAGACTTAGCCAGGGCACCTGGGTGGCTCAGTTGTTAAGCGGCTGCCTTTAGCTCAGGTCATGATCCAGGAGTCCTGGGATGGAGCCCCTCTTTGGGTTCCCTGCTCAGCGGGAAGCCTGCTTCTCCCTCTCCCACTCCCCCTGCTTGTGTTCCCTCTCTCGCTGTGTCTCTCTTTGTCAAATAAATAAATTTTTAAAATCTTAAAAAAATAAAAACAATTCACAAGTGAAGATCATCCCAAGATGTATCCTCTCAGAGACTGACCTGCCTTTTTATTCCCCGTTGTTTATGTAAATAGATTATCACAAATTTAATACCTTTCAACGACTATTTTTAAGTTTCAAACATGAGCTCTTCTGTGGAAGCCACTCATCCGTAACAAATGGTACAGAAGTTTGTTATTGTCTGGAGTCTATTAAAATTTTCCAGTTAATATCCCTTGAAAGAACACTTTGCCCATTAAGCTTTGCTCCCCCCTTCCCCAGGAGAGTGCCAATGGGTAGGCAGGATCCCCAAGGCTCAGAGAAGGCTTTTTTATTCAAAGCCATAGTATCTGTCAGATAGCAATGAGGATAACAATAGTTTACATGTATTGTACCTTCACTGTGGTTTGTACTGGTTCTGAATACTCAATTTCATTTAACATCATAGTGATCCAGCAGTAGATGTTACTACCATCACCATTTAGTGGAAGGGAACTGAGGTACAGAGTCACGAACACCTGTAGATGGCAGGTATAAATGTTGGCACACTGAAACACTCTGGTTCTATCGTATGCACTCATTCTTAAGTGCTGCACTCTTGAACCCAAAAGAGAGAGATCTTCCAGGTTGGCTAACAAGCCCCTTTTCTGGCTTTCTTTCCCATTGAGAGAAGTAAAGAATGAAGTAAAACAGCAAATTGAACTGTCCAACAGCAGCATAGAGCCTGTCCAAATGTAATGTTTCTCCTTGAGGCCAGGTGTTCTAGTAGGCAGAGATGAGGGATGAGATAACCCAGATTGGATGAAGGCTGGTTCAGCAGTCACAACCTCATCTGGAGAATTTTCTTGACCAATATAGAAAAATACACCTTTGTGAAGGAGGTCAGTTGTATGGTATCAGATGGTAACTAGACTTGTGATCACTTTGTAGTATATGCAAATATTGAATTATGTGATACACCTGACATGAATATGTTATATGACAATTTTATGTCAATAAAAGAAAAATGCATTTTTTTTTAAGTTTTTTTGTTTATTCATTCAAGACACAGAGATAGAGAGAGAGAGAACATGAGCAGGGGGAGCAGGCTCCCTGCTAAGCAGGGAGCCTGACGCGGGGCTCAATCCCAGGACCCTGGGATCATGACCTGAGCCGAAGGCAGATGCTTAACCATCTGAGCCACCCAGGCGCCCCAATAAAAGAAAAATGCACCTTTGAAGCAGCATGAATGCTTCAAGAAGTAAGTCATCACTCCAGGAGGCTGGACCCTTGGATTCAGTTCCTTCAGGGATTACTTTGCAGTTATTTCAAACCGCACTTTGTATTAAAAAGTCAAAGAGGAATTATGGCACCTCTCTGAGCTTAATAGTTACTTGCTTAAATGGTTTTTTTGCCTAGCAGAAGACTGCAGGTGGACTGGGTGATACTGGGCAATCCCTTGACCATTTCCTCATCAGGGCAAGCAAGAAAAAAGCCTTGGCTTGGACATTAGTGAGCTAAGGTCTCTCTGTTTTCACTCTGAGCTTTTAGCTTGATTATAAACTATGTATGAAAGATGCTTATAAACAAAACTATGTACAGTTAGATACCTTCATTTCTGTGGGGCTCAGGAGAGTCAGAAAACTTCATTTGGATCAGGATATACATCAAGATTGACCATAAGATGTCAATTATATCTCAATAAAGAGTGGAAAGAAAAAAAGATGTGCCAGAGGCAGGGCAGCTTGCAGCTCTTCTCTGCCTCTTTTTCTCAGTAACTTCCATTAAAAAAAAACCGGAATATTTAAAATGTGCAGAAAATTACAGATACTATAAATGTAAGAAATGTTGACATTTTGATATATTGACTATTTCATTGTTTGGGGACAAAATATTACAGATAAACCAGTGCTCTGAGGTGCTTTTCAACTCTTTCTTTTTCTTTTTTTAAGATTTTTTTTAATTTGGGGCGCCTGGGTGGCTCAGTCGTTAAGCGTCTGCCCTCGGCTCAGGTCATGATCCCAGGGTCCCGGGATCGAGCCCCGCATCGGGCTCCCTGCTCCGCGGGAAGCCTGCTTCTCCCTCTCCCACTCCCCCTGCTTGTGTTCCTGCTCTCGCTCTTTCTCTCTCTCTGTCAAATAAATAAATAAATAAAATCTTTAAAAAAAAAAAAAAGATTTTTTTTAATTTGAGGGGGCGTCTGGGTTGCTCAGTCGTTAAGCGTCTGCCTTCGGCTCAGGTCATGATCCCAGGGTCCTGGGATCAAGCCCCGCATCGGGCTCCCTGCTCCGCGGGAAGCCTGCTTCTCCCTCTCCCACTCCCCTTGCTTGTGTTCCTGCTCTTGCTCTCTCTCTCTCTGTCAAATAAATAAAATCTTTAAAAAAAAAAAAAGATTTTTTTTTTTTTTTAATTTGAGAGAGAGTGTGTGAGAGAGAGCATGAGCAGGGGCAGGGGCAGAGGGAGAAGCAGACTCCCCACTGAGCAGGGAGCCCCGACCCAGGACCCTGGGATCACGACCTGAACCAAAGGCAGACACTTAACTGACTGAGCCACCCAGGCACCCCATGAGGTGTTTTTCAACTCTTTAAAAAGCAAGTACTGTAATACAGTTTTTGAATGATGAAATATTTAATCCCTGGAAATTCAGTGGGGAGTATTGTATCAAATCCCTGTAACAAATTATATATACACATTACCTGTTGGTACTGTTCCTCTCTTTGTGAACCTTGATAGATATGGAAGGCCACTCAAAATTTTTACTTGTGCTATAGTACAATAGATGGGTACTTAATGACATGGCTGAGTTCTTAGTGCCCTCCTGCTTAATATACTGGGAAAGATAAATCACCTGATCTGACAAGCAGTTAACTCTGCTGCTTTCCTGACATGTGGCATGCCCAGTACAGAGCCACTGACACAGGGCTCAATCTCACGACCCTGAGATAATGACCTGAGCCGAAATCAAGAGTTAGACGCTTAACCAACTGAGCCACCCAGGCGCTCCTAGCAGAAATCTTTTTTTTTTTTAAAAAGAGTGGTCTTGTGTACATTTTCCTAAAATGATGTATTTTGGTATTTACATCAAATGTGCAATATATATCTACATACATTAAAAATTTCTACAAGGATGTACCTAAAAGTGTTAACAAGGCTTCCTTCATGCTCCCCCTCTTCTGAATATTGGGATAACCACATACTGCAATTATTCCTGCCCTTTGTCCTTTCTTCAAGGTTTCTCCTGTTAAAAAAACAAAAAGTAAATCTGAAGATTAAATTGGCTTTATTAAGTCATTCATGAATCAAGCAGTATCTCATCAAGCAGAGACATACTCCAAGGAGTTCTACAAAATGGAAGGCTGTTATAGAAAGGAGGGTTGGGCAAGGAAGTCATTGGCAAAGGAAGAATGAAAGTTCATTGGAGGAAAGTAAGAGTTCAGGGTGACAATGGCTTTTCATTGGCTGAGCTGCAGCGTTTTCCATTGGTTGGGCTTGTTGCTGGGCAGAAGAACATTTTCCTTCCTCCTTGGAGGGTAGTAAAGTAGTGACACCGTCCAGTTGGATATGCAAGGCACCTTTCTGTTTGGGATAACTGACTAGTGGTAGGGGATGAGAGCTTCCTCTAGAAGTCTTCCCAATTCCAATTTTAGTTCAGGTTTCCTTTATTAATTTTCACATTTCTCCCTTTTGGTCAAGATCTGTCTCTAAAAGCATCACTGATCAAAAAAAAAAAATAAAATAAAATAAATAAATAAATAAATAAATAAATAAATAAATAAATAAATAAAATAAAAGCATCACTGATCAAGAGGTACGTTTCCCAAATTCAGTGGGCTTTGTTCCTTGGTGCCAGGAAAGACCTTTCTTGTGTATTTTTTCCTATGTCAATGGGAAAATGCATGGACCCAAAAACACTTGAGGCCACATTTCAGTTACAAAAAAAAAAGGTAGTAGGGAGAACTCTCAGGCCTTTCTTAACCAAAGTCTATATTTTGTCAAGGTTGTAAGCATCAGAGATCATCTCAAAGTGCTGAGCAAGCATCACACTCCAAACATAGGGGCTTCGTTGTAGCAATTTCACTTGTAGGTCATCTGGGTGCCCTCCTGAAACAAGTTGTCTCTCTTTGCTTTTACAGGTCTTAACTGCCTAATATCAATGTTAATTTCATTGACTACCACCAGAATCTGAGGAACAATCCTCTCATCAGAGAGAAAGTTCTTATGCTTCCTCAATGACCATTTTATAGGCACTAGGAATAAAATATTAATAAAGACTATGAGTCATTTACCTTGTTATCCTTAATGCCTATGACTCACCAACCATTATATATATATACTTCCATATATACACTCTTAGAAAAGAACAGTGACAGGGGCGCCTGGGTAGCTCAGTTGGTTAAGCGGCTGCCTTCGGCTCGGGTCGTGATCTTGGGGTCCTGGGATCAAGCCCCGCATCGGGCTCCCTGCTCAGCAGGGGGCCTGCTCCTCCCTCTCCCACTCCCCCTGCTTGTGTTCTCTCTCTCTGTCAAATATAAATAAATAAATAATCTTTAAAAAAAAAAAACAGTGGTATAGAAAAAATTACAGATATCAAAAAGATAGTATGTTATTTGTTACTGGAATGTATTTATTCTCTTTCTCTTTTTTTTAAAGTAATCCTTACACCCAACATGGGGCTAGAACTCATGACTCTGAGATTAAGGGTCCCATGCTCTACTGACTGAGCCAGCCAGGGGACCCTGGAATGTATTTATTCTTGCACTTGTTTTTGTTTTTTAAGATTTATTTATTTTAGAGAGTGCAAGCAGGAGGCGGGGCAGAGGGAGAGGGAGAAAATTCTCAAGCCGACTCCCCACTGAGTGCAGGCTCCCCCCCACCCCACCAACGAGGGGCTTGATCCCAGGACCCTGAGATCATGACCTGAGGTAAAATCAAGAGTCGGATGCTCAACCGACTAAGCCACCCAGGCGCCCCTATTCTTGTACTTGTTAACAAACTGGCTAATGTTCTGGAGATTCTTGCAAACCAAATAATAAAGATACCATGTACATGTGACTCAGAGAAACACAAATCATTGCACAAAACCCCATCCCTTTCCTCACCTAACACCCCAATTCCACCTTCTCCCTGGTACCTTCCTCTAGACATTGTAACTTCCTTCCCCACCCCCTCAAAACTGGACACCTTAAGTAGTCTTAAGAGGTTTCAGACTGCAAGAAGGTGAATAGATATGCTTCCATAAAGTATTTTATCTCCCCGTTTAAATACAATAAGAATGTAAAAGTAATTTTGGAATTGTCGATGGAAAATTTCGGTTCTATTTCTGCTGCTACTACTACTGCTCCCAAGCCTGGCAGGCATCTGCCCAGTGCTGTGTGAAACAAGATCTTGATGGGATCACTACTTCTCACAGTAACCTGAGACATGGGATAGTTTTACCCTAGTTTTACAGGTGAGGGACTTGTCTAAGATGTGAAAACATGTTAAGGAAACCTAACTCAGAATTATTCAGGAAGCCATGAAGGGAGGGCTCACACAGCTTGCAAAACCCAGCAGGAAGGAAGATTTCCTTTCAACTCAACAACCAATGAAAGGCCACCACCGCTTTGCCTGCAGCCAATGAACTCTCATTTTCCTCCAATGGACTTTTGTTCAATATACCCCCTCCCAACTTCCTTCTTTCCACTATAAAAGGATGCTCTCCTCCATTGTTCTCTGTACTTGCCTATGGTTTGCCATAGTGTGCTTGTCCCAAATTGCCATTCTTCTGCCATTCCCAAATAAACTTGATTTTACCGGCCGAATTGCTTACCTTTTTCTTTTAAAAGGTTGACAGTGGTTATCCTGAATTTAAACCAGTCTATCAAAACCTCAAGTCTATGTTCCTCCTAAACTCTCTACTAGATTGTACCTGGACATAGCCAGACCTCACTTTGAAGGGTTCCCTTATACACAAATTACACTCACCATGGTTTAGTTACATGTCAGTCCCCTAACAACATGGTTCCAATTTTAGTTACAACAGTGAATCAACTGTAAATGCATAAAATATAAACTTCACTGCTAGCTCTTCAGGCCACAAATCACTAAATAACAGATGTGTATCACAGTAAGTGACAAGGCATGTAAGCTCTCTGAAAGTCTGTCAGTGATCATTGTGAGTCTGTTGCTTAGCTCACATATGGACAGAAAAGCATGTGATTGGGTCACTTCTTGTCTCCCAAAATAAACCTATGTGACATTTAAAAAAAAGGATGATCAAAAGAGGGAATTGACCAACAAAGACAAAAGTGCAGCAAATAAATGAAAAGTGATAATGCTGGGAGTGAAATCGGAACTGAGTGTAAGTGGAATTATAGCCAAAAGAGCTGACAGGGGGAATGTTGACATTGCTGTTGTTCAAGAGATTCCAGATCTGCAGCCAGAGGAACTTGTTGAAGGAGAATTTAACATAAAAGTGTTTATGATGAGGGTGCCTGGGTGGCTCAGTTGGTTAAGCGACTGCCTTCGGCTCAGGTCATGATCCTGGAGTCCCGGGATCGGGTCCCGCATCGGGCTCCCTGCTCGGCGGGGAGTCTGCTTCTCTCTCTGAACCTCCCTCCTCTCATGCTCTCTATCTCATTCTCTCTCTCAAATAAATAAATAAAAAATAAAAAAAAAAGTTTTTATGATGAAAAGGTTAAAGATGTCCTAGAAGAGGTGATGCTGGCAAAATAACTGTGCTGGGGATTCTTGGAGGTATTTCTTGACATTGAAAGTGCAAATGATAAAATGTTGGAAGGTGATCCAAATTTATAAAGGAGTATGACAATTGGCTGAAGAATTGAAAAGATGCTCTTTCTGTCATAAGCTATACAATGAAAATAAGAGGTAAGCATTGTTCAGACTATTCTTGGTAAGGTTTTACAAATAAAACACTTTAATTCTCCTTACAGAATACAAAATAAATATTAGTTTTAGTATTGTTTTCATTTCCCAATACACTTATAATGGTCAGAGGGTTTTTAATGTTTTGGCAAAAATTTTAAAGATCACAGAAATAATATTTATAATAATTTTTCCCCATTGAACAATAAGATTGCTTTGCACTGTTTCAGCTTGCATGGTCACTTTGATGGTCCCACCCTACTGTACAAAGTGAGGGACACAAGCACACATATACACACAGCAAAAATCAGTCTGGCATAAGAGCAAGATCACTAGAATGGGTCCCAAACATTCTGGGTTTCTGTGCAACGATTTACTATTTGGGTGACTTTGGAAAAGTCATTTAACTTCCCTGGGCTGAATCTCCTTAACAGTGAAATAAGGGGTCTTAACAGTGACTCTCTTCTGTCCTGGCCAGTCTGAGTCCTGCTAATTGACAACCAACAAGTTAATATTGGTAAAGACCTTCCTATTATCTCCTAAGTGAGAGGGTAACCTGACTCCATCTACAATGCAGACATGAATATTGAATCTATAAATACATCTACTGAAATCTATAAATGTAATGAAAAGCATTTTGGCATTTCCTGAAAATGTGAACTATAAACTCTTCATTTCCTATTAGGATGTTGGCTGACTTAAGAGTCAAAAAGTTGGTTTTCATTCGTCTTCACCACAACTGACAGAGACCTCCATTTCTATGGCTGAGCTCCTGTGAGCATGACTCTTCCTGGTGCTGAATGTATTCAGGCAACTGTGCCCTTTAAATGTGGCTTTATGTTTATAAAATCTGAGAGGATGTCAAAAACCTAACTTTTGCTGTATTTTTTAACGCTTAAAATATGTGAGAGTTCTTCTTAAGGATTAAGAAATACAATTACCTACTCATTCTATTCTTTTTTTTTAAAGATTTTATTTTTAAGTAATCTCTACACCCAATGTGGGGCTTAAATTTACAACCCAGAGATCAAGAGTCACATGCTATACCGACTGAGTCAACCAGGCGCCCCATAAGGTACAACTTTATTTTTTGTTTTCTTTTTTTGTTTGTGTGGATGTCTTTTTGGTGGTTTTTTTTTTTTTAATAATCTCTCTGCCCAATGTGGGGTTTGAACTCCCAACCCCAAGATCAAGAGTCGCATGCTCTACTGACTTGAGCCAGCCAGGCGCCACGTCTACTCATTTTAAAGCAGTTCACTTTAAAAAGTAGCTAGCTTTCATTTACTTATCTATTCACTACTACTTGAGTCCTTCCTTCAGGCAGGAGACCATTCTAGCTGTCCTGGATACTCAGTGACTAAGCTAAACTTGGTGCCTGCCCTTGATTACTGGTGAGCAACAAAGACATTTAACCCTTATTAAATAAAACTGGATAATGCCACTTAAAAACAAATTAACACCTATAGAAAAAGCATTTCTGGCCATCAGCAAATACTTACTGAGAACTTATTTGAGCCCTGTGCTTAATGGTATGGAAGACAAAGAGAATTAAATTGTTACGTCTTTGCATTTAGCGAGCTTACCACCAAGCCAAGGGATTTTCATTCTTTTCTGAGAAGGCATAATGTGTGTCTTATCAGGCTTATTATATATTATGCCTTCTCAGAAAAGAATACAAATTCTCAGGAGCCAAAAGTTAACTAAAAAGACTTTGAGAATAGAAAAAATTAAATCACACTAATAAAATACAATGATTACTATAAAAACAACTCTAGGGGCGCTTGGGTGGCTCAGTCAGTTAAGTGTCCATTCAGCTCAGGTCATGATCTCAGTGTCATGAGATTGAGCC